AAACTTTACCTCGACTTGAGACCAACTCGAGTTGCAACCAGAATCACGGAACAGATTAAGTTTGTAACTAGAGGTACCGCTGTAGTTTATGGTCTGTTGCAAGGAATGAATGTTGGAAGAAGAGAAAATGGTTGTGCATACGAGCTTCCTTCTCCCCACCATGTTACTTGGGTGAGTTAGAACTGCACATGTCAAGAGGAACATCACAGTCAGTTGAATGCAGCAGAACTGGGTTGTTTCAGAAGCGTGGGTGGTAAAACAGGAGGATTACTCAAGAATAAATGAGTAATGAATGAAAGTACATTGAATATAAAAATGGTCAAATCTAGAGAGGGTGAAGGAAGATCAAACTGCAAAATAAATACATGAAGAGTGAACGGGTCAAGGGGAAGCAAAGGCCAAAGTCATGGTTGGATGGAGTTGATGAGATCCTCCAAAAGAGAGAAATGAGTAGCTTAAAGAACAAAAAGCAGCGGGTGAAGTGATATATGGGCATGGTAGAAGAGGGAAAGTTTACAAAGATCAAAAGATACAGTGAAAGATGTTGATGTACACAGGCATTTTGGAATGTTCTTTGTGAGGATATATTGCTCATACACTATACAAACAAGCATATATATTTTTACAGAAGAAAAACAATATCCACTTATTGTCTTGTGTGTATAAAGAATTTCAAAGTTCATTATTGAGGTGGATTATGAGGTAGTATATACTTCAAAGTTAAAATATTTGCCCATAGATAAACATTATTAGTAAGACTTTGGTTGCAACTGTGTGAAGGAGGTAGGATACATAAGATGATAAATAACATAAGAGAGTAAAATTGCGTATTTTGTAGTCCCTAATTCTTCTGGCATATAACACACAACATGCTAAAATGTGAAAAGGGGAAACAAATTGCCAATTAGAATATTTGCTTTATTGTTTTACAAACTGTTTAATACTATATCATTGCCACTCACTATGTACAAATATGCAGATTTTAGATTAGTTAAAACATTTGGTTTGTTATTTTGGGACTTGTTTAATATCATTGCTATTTACAGAGTTTAGATTTTTCTGGGTGTTACTTTAAACTTTCAACATTGATTCAGGAATCTAACTAATTTATTCTTGTTGATAGTGTTTGCAAATGGAACTAGGTCCAGTTGTTACAAAGCCAATGTGATTAATCAATTCTTTTTTGAAGTGAAGTGGTAGAATATTGAATGCATGCAAAAGGTCCTTGGTCCAAACCCCGACATCTGCAGATAAAAAAGGATATATTTTTGTACCTAGGTGAATTGTTGCTAGTCAATAAACATCATATTAGGCTATATGGACATACAGTCTGGCTTGATATAAAACTGTGTTAGTCAAGTTCTCTGTATTCTTGCATAAATAATGTAGCTCAGCTCTTGATATAACAGTAGTTTCATTTTACAGGCTGATACAATTATTAAATTATGGAAAAATGGATTTACAGTAAATGATGGTGAACTCCGAAGTTACACAGATGTTGCAAACCAGCGCTTCTTGGATTCCATTAAAAAAGGGCAAGTCAGCTTTGCATTAATGGGGTTTGTACATTATACTCTGAAGAGATGCCCAGTTTGGACAACATTCTGGATGCACTATCTACTCAAAACTTGTATAAATCCAAACTATTTTTTTTTAAATGGTACCTCCTTTTTGAAATACATGAAAGACCAACTAAAATGGAATAGAAATGTTTTGTAATACATTTGCGGAATGGTGGGGTGTTTCAGTGGCCAAAGTATGGCATGCTGATATTTAAATGCAAAAATGGTCTTGTGGTATGTAGAGATGCTTCATTATTGTACAGTATATGGGAAAAAGGTAAGGGGGAGAAAAAACTGAAAACAAAATGTTGGATTGTAATATATTTTAAAGTAATCGAAACAATGATCTTTATGTTTCAACTACCAATATAGAAATGCTCTATTTCTGTCGCTTTAAGGGAGCTGCCTCTTGAATTACAGAAGTTTTGTGATAAAGAAGAGGTGGATGTAAAGGTGGATGATAAGAAGGATGAGTTATATACATCGCAGAAGCCAGTGTTCCATCCTTTCTCTGGACCAGGATATCGATTGGGAAGGTGAGCAGCCTTATGCTTTTAGTAATTGAAACTGGCTCATGAAATAAATGAAGGTCATTGTTTTCTTTCATTCTTTTACATTTCAAACCTACGCCTGTTTATCTTTGAGTAAATCCCATAGGATGTAATGTGAATAAGATGGCATCTGTATTTCTAGATTTTGATTGCACCTTGTGAAGGAGACTTCTACAGAGTATTTGTTTCAATCTTGAAAATATTGCTGCCTTTCAGTATCCTGTCTCAGTACCAAATAACCAGTTTAATATTACTAAAGGAAAAAGAGATCCAGGAATACCAACAAGACCCATAGCAGTAGTCCAGTTCTCCCATTCATTAAATTACCCCTGAACAAATTCCCTTCAAATTGTACAGTGTAACTGCTCGTGTGATATCTTAGTATCATCCCTTTATACTAACAGTCTTGATCTTATTGATAATCTTACTTATCTTTCCCCCACCCAAGGGTGGCTGGGAATTCTAAGAGTTGGAGTACCAACAAATCTAGAGGACATCAGGTTGGAGAAAGCTGACATAATTTGATGTCCTCCTCACCATTATTTTTCAAGAGATGCTGGATTCTATTCATACTGAGTCATTATGGAGATCTCTGCTGGTTTTTTTTTTCATTTTGCCATGTATCCTTTTGTACTGTAAATACGTCACACTGCTGTTGTAAGAAGGAAACAGTAGGCATAACTCTCCACTCAGTGAACGCACAAGAAAAGAGTACATTACAGTGTGCATGTGTGCACCAGTTGCTCTTTTGAGAGTAAAGGGTGTATGTCAGCAGAATGGAAATTACACGTTCAAAAATCTTCAAAAGAGTTGTATGAGCCTTGTAAGAATCTTATGATTTGATATAATAGAATAAGCTATGTTGCCGTATTACTACTTCTGTGCATTTGAATTTCATATTTTATTTTAAAGATGTATATCCTGCCTTTCCATTAAAAAAAAAACCAAGGTGAAGAATCAGATGTAAGGGGTAAAAATACATGAACAAATATCATTCTCTCTATGAGACAACATTCAGCTTAGAAATGAACTAGAAACATCCCAAAGGTTTCTACAGACTGAGTCGCTGATTTGCACATTGTGCCAAGACATTATTTGTCTAACCATGTTTCATTGAATAAAACACAATTGGATGAGTTCACAATAACAGCTAATTCCCAAACCAACCACATTTTGGCTTAGGCACCATGACTCAGCTCTCTTTCTGAGTTTCTTTTTCAATGTTAAATGTACTTTTTTGCTTTCCAATTAATATGTTGCTGTCTCTATAATAATGAAGTCTCAACCCTATTACATTGGCTTAATTTCAAGCATTCTACAAGGATACTCTTTAAAGCTGTTATTAATTTTTATATGCCGGTAATAACATGTATAGCTCCATAGCTATATAGGAGAAATTATCTAGTATGAAATGGCATTATAATCTGGTATGATTATAACTTTATTTTCCAGTGCTACACCAAGAATAATTTCCAAAGTAAAAAAAAACATCGAAGAAACTGAAAAGAGAAAACCAACAGTGGTGCTAAATAATTCAGAACCTATCACTAGTATCCAGATTTGGTTGGCAGATGGAGCAAGGATAGTACAAAACTTCAATATTTCTCATAGGTAAGAATAGATCACATTAACAGAATTCGATTTATATACCATACAGTTCTAAAGGATATTTACAGGGCTTCCTTTCAAGAAAGATTACAGCCTAACAACCTATTCCTAACCATGTTTACTTAGAAATAAGTCCCACTGCAGCCACGGGGCTCGCTTCCAAGAAAGCATTAGATTGCAGCCAAAGTGCCTCTAAAACATTAATTTGTTTTGAATACTGAGCTGTGAAATAGGTTAGCTTTTCAACATTAGCCTTGGACAAAACTGAGAGAAATATTTGAAAGTATACATGAAAATGATAGTGTATTTTTTTAAAATACAAGAAAAAAAACTCACTGTTAGCAAAATGATACAGCCGCTATTACATAAATGAGCTTCAGTGCGCGCAAAAGACTTTCCTTAACTCTTTTTCCACCAGCATCACACTGAATCAAAACATCGGAGCTTTGGGGGAATCTTATGTCAGAATGATTGCTTTGGCTAGGTTCTTAGTCAGATTTAGTTTGCTTAACCCTAATTTGTTGAATAAGCCACAGCTGCAATCCAATTACTGTAAGGTAAACTGTTTTGATTTGTGTCAGATTAATGAAGTTGTACTTCTTTTTGGTGCTTGAGTCTGAGTGGATTTTATCCAATACCGCAAAATGTTGCATTTTTAAACTCTGTTTCTCTATGTAACTCAGTGGGAATTACTTCTGAGTAGACATGTAAAGGATTTCCCTATCACTTCACTAAATATCGACACATATAAATACCATTCTGTTTCTCACTTTTCGTTATCTTTATACCTTACATTATGCAGGAGAGGTGCATGTTAAAAAGTGTTAATATGAATTGCGTGACATATGGAAAGACATGGCATGTGGAAGGGAGTTGCATTACTCCACATTGATGATTTTTCTCTAAGGTGTTAGCGCAGTGTTTCCCAATCATGGCAGTGTAATTACATGTTCATCATTTTTGTTTCAGACAATACCTGTTTTGACAACTGATGCACCATTTAAACAGTGGCAGAAAGATATATCTAAATTTGTGTGGCACGGGAAAAAACGAGTTAAATATAAGGTGTCAGAAGATGCAAAGGAAAGAGGAGGATTGGGTTAACCTGATTTGAAATTATATTTTGCAGTTTGCTGTTTGGTTTGGATGAAAGAGTGGGTGTTGCTGAGAAATAGAAGGTTCTTGGAGTTAAAAGGACATGACCTGAGATTTGGGTGGCATGGATATTTGTGGTACAATAAAGTCAAGGTTAATGTAGATTTTAAAAATCATTATGTTAGACATGCCGTATTGAGAATATGGAATAGAGACAAAGCCAGGTTGTGCCCAAAAACACCTTTGTGGCTCTCAGCACAAGAAGCATTTTATAGATGAGAAATAACAGGCAAACACAAATGGCTAACTTATCGTGAGATACTAGAATTTTGTCAAGGGGGATGTAGAATAAAATCAAGAGAAGAACTGGTGGCAAAGGGATATAGGTATCAATGGTTCTGTTATTTACAATTATTAGAAGGATTTAAAGTAGACAAAATAATTTATGGTTTTGAACATTGTAAGACTGAGTTTGAAATAGAATCATTTCACTAAATATCGACACATAAGTACCATTCTGTTTCTCACTTTTCATTATATGTTATGTTATGCAGGAGAGGTGGATCTTAAAAAGTGTCAGTATGAATTGTGTGACATGTGGAAAGACATGGCATGTGGAAGGGAGTTGTATTACTCGATTGATGATTTTTCTCTAAGATGGTAGTGCGCTGTTTCTTGTGTGGACTTCAACTTGCAGAATTCCACAGCCAGCACAGCCGTTGATGAGAATTCTGGGAATTGAACTCCACATACTTCAAAATTGCCATGGTTGGGAAACACTGTGTTAGTGCATCAACCATTGAATAAACTGCTTCTCTGTGTAAAGAATAATCCATCCTCTAGTTTTTACAAACCTGGTATCCTCCATATATAGGACACTACAGCTCCTCCGTGTAACTCAATACTGATACAGACCAACCGGCTGGGGGAGGCTGTCCTACCCTATTTAGTATGTATAGAAAAAAAACTAAATTATGTTCTTGTTACCAATGATTGACCCTATGGTTCAGATTCAGAAAGAGCAATATTAGCAGTTTTCTAAGGAAAAATAATTTGGGACAGGGAAATAACAATTCATTTAGATACACAGTGTGATAATGCTTATAAGCAGTCTGTTTGGAAGTCAAAGCATTTCTTTTCATTGTATAGCATCCAGTCAGAAAAAATCTTAACAGATTTATTCTCACATTGCCATGAAGTTTTCATACATAACATGCCATGAAAGAGGTTAGAGTGAAAAGAACTGGTTTTCTAAGGAGCAAGCCTGCACACCTTAAAATGCATAATGAGAAAAGTAGTTCACAGCTGCTGGTTATAGGAGAACTTAGAATCTGCCTATGTGGTGACTGGGAAGGCCCTGATTTTGCTCAAAATCTGTTTCTTCATATTGTTGTGACTCCATAACATTTGCTCTTTAAAATTTTGATTTAAAATATCAGACTTATTTTTTTTCCTTTCCATTTTAGAATAAGCCACATCAGAGACTTCATAATCGATTACCAGAGACATCAAGGAAGAAGACCCTTCACACTGACTACATCACTTCCTTTTCGGGAGTTGTTGAATGAATCTCTCACACTAGAGGAAGCTAACTTAAAAAATGCTGTTGTTGTGCAAAGGCTTAAAAATAATATTGAGCCTTTCCGGAGTTTCTCTTCCTAGCATTCTCCACCTAAATGATAGAACAGTTGCAGGAGAGGCCTTGAAAAAGTGGAAGCAATATCCATGGAATAGGTCCCCAGTTGGGATTGTTTCAGTGTTCAACACCTGACCATTAGTTCAGTGACTTTAGCTGAGTCACCTCCTCTCATGAATAGCAATAACTCCTGTGATTTATGTGACATCTAGAGTGCTGCTTTGAAAGGGCAGACAGTGTATGCTGAACTGAAGCTATCCCAAAGTCTTTTTTGTTTGTTTTAAATAGCCTGGCAGAGGGTAATAGAGCCAGCCCTATCGAACTGGTTATTCTGTCACCAGTGCTAATCCAATAAAGGGGCACTGTCGGAAAACCTTGAACATTTGTTTACATTTCAGGTTGCAAACGGGGAAAAATGAACTTTTGAAAGCACAACTTGACTTCATTCTTGCTTGTTATAGTCTGATATATTTTATTCTATTAGTGCTACAATATGAAATTTATGGAAATTAATATATAAAATTCATTTATATAGAAAAATACCACAGATAATAGTCTGTTTCTTTTGAAAACTTGTCTCCCAATTTGTTTTAGATTATCTATGGACAGGGGAACACATGACAAAAGCAACAGCATGTCACAAGCTCTGCCCCTTTCATATGTACACACACACACACACAGATCAGAGCTTATGATGCAGTGCTCCTTTATTTTGACAAAATGTTGGATCCTAGGGACATCTGACTGTTTAAAATTCCACTTTAATTATATGGGAGATACCTCTGGGCATACCTCTAAATTTTAATTGCAGTTTATGCCATTAAAAAGAGAAATACATTATCTGCAGTCCTGAATGATTTATTCAGAAATAAACTTCACTGCTTTACTTCTGAGGAGGTATATTTCAGCTTTTGAAACTGAAGTACCGAATAAGGGTTCTGCCTACTATATGAGAAATAGAGTTCAGCTTTAAAAGGCCTCTTGCCTTCTGCCTCTTGGCTTCTGAAATAGAAGCGAGCTTTGAGGAGGAGGAGTTTCAAGCAACCATTAAGAAATGCATCAGGTCTATTGATAAGTGCAGTATTAGAACTGCATGTTTGAATGGACTCAAAGGCATATGCTTTAGCATGTAACACCTGTAGCTTTCATCATTAAAAGTGTCACAGATGGCAGCTCTGTACAGCCTCATCTGGACTTGGAAGCTAAGCAGAATCAGCCTTGGTTACAACTTGATTGGGAAGCCACCAGGGAATCCCAGGGGTGTAGGGTAGGCTGTGAATTTAAAAAACAAAATCCCGTAAGGAAGAGGCAAAGCAGTTCTGTACTGTTGCCAAAAATCTGCAGACACATCTATGAAGTTACCAGCTCAACTCAAGCAGTACTTTTTACCTTAAAAAGTCTAAAATCATGTTGGTTTGATGGGTTGGGGGAATCAAGTGGAACCATATTGTTGAGTCCTGCCTGCCTGCAAGATTATCCTAATTATTTATTACACCTAACATTTTTAAAATGCTGGACATAAAAACAGAATAGTCTCTTAAAGAACTATAACCTATTAGGCCTGATACCCAAAGAAAAAGGGATGAGAAGGAAATTGGACAGAATCCTAATTCATAGCTTTTGATCAAGAGAAATGGCCTCAAGGGGGAGGCAAATTGCAGTTCGGCCAACCTCTATAGGAGAGCAACCATGCTGTCTCACCTTGCCTTCTGTGGATAACTCAGATGTGTATATTCCAAAATGTCCTGCTCCTGATCACCCCCCAAGGTAACTTTCAGAAACAATCAACAGGAACAGCTGCTTGGGATTTGAACATAGGTCCTGCCAGGTTAGCAGGAAATAGAACTTTGAATAATGAAGTCCACCCCTGCCATCATCTTCACTTTTTAATTAAGGGATATAAGTGAGCTTTGCAGCTAGGACAGTTTTTCTTTAATGATCCATCTCAGAAATAAGGCCTCCTCTCTCCACCTGTGCCACAACAAAGTCACCAAACAAACTATTACAGTAGTTCCTGTTTTTTGTTTTTTAATAAATCAGAAATAGGTTAGGATTTCACCATCAGGATATATTATTTGGCCTTACCTGTGAATTCCATTGTTTATTGGGCAAAAGTATTCTTTGCATGGCACATCCAATTTAATTTTTTCTACCTTATTGTGGTATGTGAGCCAAGGCCTTTTAGCTTATGAACTTTGGCTTGTAACTTAGAGTGATGTGTGAACCCAGCCAGTTATGGCTTATTTATTAAATCATTGTTAAACCCTAGCCTGGCAAACCATGCATCCAGTATTTTACTGCATCCAGTAAAGCAAATTGTGGCTTAGTGTGGTATATGACCCTGGTCTTGTCAATCTGCAAATTACCTCTAGCTAGCGACCAGGATTTTATTTATTTTATTACTATTGTAATAGTCAAAGCTGACTAATGTCATCCCTATAAAGGCCAAAATGAGCTTTAAGCATTCTTTTAAAAAGTTAACTAATGTTTTATGTACGGATGTGTGCACAGTTTTTTTTTTTAATTGGTTAAATGCTTTAACACAACTAGTTAATAATGTTAAAATCCTCCAAGCTCATTCTTTTACAAAAAGCAATATGGAATATATTTATTCCCACAATTTGAAAGTGTATAATTTCAGTTCTATTAATACCTTATTTAGAGTATGAATGGATATTTAAAGGTTTTACTGATGCAGACCAATGGGGATTTCTTATTGTAAATTTCTGCAATGAAATAAATCTATACATTCTTCACAATAAAACTCTGCAAGGTTCATGCACTTCCCCACTTCTGTGTAAAATAGATTGTCTTTGTGAATTGACTGTTACACATGCAGATAATTCACTTAAAAAATGAAATATGCTTGAAACCTCTAAACAGCAATATGCTGGTGTCTTCTGTTCCTGGCTCTGTATGATGTTTCTCAAAGTAATTGATCGTTACATCTTGTTTGGCTTTATCTACAAATTTGTTCATCTGAATATACACTCACATACACAAACACACACAGGTATTATTTCACTAAAAAGTTATATATTATATATTGCATGAATATATAATATAAATTCAAGTAGAACTGAATCTGTTACCTGGAATGTAATGTATCTATGCATTAATTTAAACCAGGACCTCTCATCAATAGCATCCACTTCATTTAAGTTAAAAATTATGCATAAGGTATTATTGCATAGTATGCTACTATAATGCTTCTTTGGTTATAGAAGAATCAAAGTCATTAAGTATTCCAGTAAAAAAATACTTCACCTGCTTTTTCAAGACTTCCTCTTTAGTTTAAAATGAAGAATGCATTAAAAGGCAACCTTCATGTGAAAAAAGCAGTTCAAATTTCCATAGCAAATAAACTGTCACAATTTTTAGAAAATGATCTACAGAATGTTTCACTGAGTTCAGAGAATGATCAGTGATAGCCATAGCGGCATCCGTCCAGATCTCCACAGCCACCCCCCAAACTTGCAGTTTTTGGAGGCATCAATGGTTAATTGTTGGATCTGCAGCTGAACAACCGACAGCCTCTGCATTCATCCCTTGTTGAGGTCCAGGCAGTTAGAAGGGGCAAGGAATAAAAACCTGTTTCAGATCGGGTACATGTCCACCAACACGAATGGACTGCCGCCTTAGACAAACGTGGAATTCAGATTTGCTAACCTTAGCCCTGACTCTACTAGTACTGTGAAGAAATCGTAGTTGAGTATTAGATATATGTAAAGGTTAAACTGAGAATTGTTCGTATTTAAAAACGTTATGTTCTCAAGGTTTCGTTTTATACTTATTTTCTGTACAAAACCAAATTGGGAAGCTAAAGCGTGTATGTAAAAGAGGCTACTCGTATTCGTAGTATAGAATTATTTGTAGTTAAAAGTTGACATTTCTAGAGAAATATTAAAAACAGTTTTAACCGAAGTTTCTAAAAAATGTTTTGGGTCATTTCCGCGGTTATACAACTTCGCATTTGCAAGCTCTTAAAATGTGGAATAATGTATTTACCCGATGGAAATATGGAATGTAACTGAATTTAAGTCACTTCCCCCTCAAAAGAAGAAAAAAAAAACCCCACATCTGCTCCGTTGCAATATATTCTCAGAAAATCTAAAACGACTTTCCCATTTTGAAAGTGAGTAATTTAAAGGGGAAAAACACCCCTGTAATCCTCCTTACGGGGGAATTATGTATCTATGGCTGAGACGCGGCGTTTTTAGTTTGTATTTATAACTCAACACAGTATCTTAACAGATACAGACGGTCGCCAAGTCTTTCTGGTCAGCGCCAGAAAGAACGCGTGTGAAAGGAGGGAACCTATATTTACTGCATTTCTTCAGTGAATGCCAGGGTTTACATATCACGGAGACACTATATCGTTTACTTACAGTAGGGCCGTGAACTCAGCCCTCGTGGCTTGTATTCCAATCTTGCAACCAGGTATCCCACCCTAGGCTCTTCCTGCAAATTAGTCCCAGATGAAGGGCACCCAACTGCGTATCTGCGCACCCAGAAGTGGCTCCGCTCGACGGCAGGGTTTGCAGACCCACCAACCAGATTCCCGGCTGTACTAGCCCAGCCCGCGTGGCCCGGTGCCTCGTGCCAACCCTCAGCATTCGGCTGCAGTGAAATAAAACTGTGTCGTGCGGACAGCCTGCGCTTAAGGGAGAAGGGGACGCACGCGACTCGGCTGTAGATGCCTGGCGTTGCATGCGCCTCTGAGGTTAAACTGGAAACAGACGACTCCTGAGCTGAGTCTGTGGCAGGCTGTATCCCGCCCAGAAGACGCGCGACCCGCACGAGGTGAGGCTGGCTTCCTTCTCGGCGTAACAGGAATAATCGTACGGTATTGAACGGGTCGGGAACGCTCTGGGCAAACCCGTGGGCAAAGCGGCGCGTTTTTCAGTACTGTCCAGACAAGGCTTCCTCCTGCGAACGGTCCCGCCCCGGATTATCAAGTGCCGAAAAGCCGGCGGCAGAAAGCTGGAGGGGCTACTGTCTGAGCTGGGATGGCAGGTGTTGGAGCAAGCGATCCGCAGCGGGGGCAACAAGACGGGCTGCCTCCGAGCCCACCGTCGCAGGGGACCGGCCAGCCCAGCCTCTTTCAAGAGCCGGAGCAGGCCCTGGGGGGGACGGCCGAAGGGGTGAGTCTCGCGTTCCTCCGGCTTGAGCTGTCCGGCTTCTCCAGGCGTGTTCCCGCGCCTTTTCTGGCTGGGCGGATGGGGGAGAAGCTTACGGGTTATTGTCGTGCCTTGCTTCTCCGAAGCCCAGCAAGACGGCGAAGGAGGTGCAAGTGCTGAAGTCCAGTAAACCTTGGAGTCCAAGTGGACTCCTAATGTGGATTTCTTGGCAACTGTATGAGATTCACCGTTGCCTTCCTCTGGAATGTATTTTCCACATCTTGATCTGGCCTATAGCTGGGATTTCTTGATGGTTTCCCATTCATGGACTAATCGAGTCCCACCTTGCTTAGCATTTTGGAGACTACAGTAGACAATCAGCCGGGCATTGGATAATAGGAGGCAGGAGATACAGGGAAAGAAAAGAGGTTGGTGGAGACCATGGTGGAACTCTTCAAGTATGATATCAAAACAGCTGTTACCTAGAAGGAGGCAAGAGCCTGTTCTTGGTTCTCCTACAGTGCAGAACTAGATGGAAGTAGCTTCAGCTGTAGGAGGGTAGATTTTGGATCAACTTCAATAGTGATCAAAGCTGGCTGACAGTGAAAGTAGTTCTGGGTGAGGGCCTTCTTTGGCCTGAGGTCTTGCTGGACCATCTGCTGGAGATGCCTTGTCAAGAGCAGAGCATTAGGCCCTCTCCATTTTGGTGGTATCATTCACAAGGGGGCTAAACCATGAGGCTTAGCTTAGAACTACAGCACCTGGAGTCACCCTACATCAGTGTTTGTCAACCTTAGCAACTTTAAGACTTCTGGACTTCAGCTCCCAGAATTCCCACGCCAGCAGGGAGTTGAAGTCCACAGGACTTAAAGTTGCCACATTTGAGAAACACTGGCCTACAGATTAAACCAAGGTTAAACAAGCACATTATGGCTTGGTGCAATATGTAACTCTAGGTATTGCCCTTCAGAAGTATGTTTGATGATGGTGGGGTTATTCCAACTGAATAATACAGGCTACTACTGCTGCATTTTTTGGAAGGAAAAAACATAGTAGAAACTTTCAGGCTCTTGGTTACTGTTCTTTTTCTCCATGATGGCAATAAACATTGGGATGCAGTTCATCCTAGAAATGATACAAAAACAAGCATATTTTTAAAAATACTGTAACTTCAGAACTATAAAAGGAGAAAATCATTGTCCTTTTCAGGAACTTAAAGAATAGAAACATGCTTTAGTTAAAACAGGTCCCTCTATAGGTAAAGGTATTGGATAATCAGGTTAAGAAGTTTGGTTTTGACTAAGCACAGTCATTGTGATGCATTCAATAAATTATGATTACATACACATGAACCAGGTTCAGTCTATGATTTAGGGGCAAGGCAGTTTGATTGCTGTGAATTTCAGTGAAATAGGTTAATAATTATGGGGAAGGATGGGAGGAGAGGTGTTCTGTGGATTGCAGCAAGAGGGCTACAAAAGGAATTATAAATACTGTACTGTAATGGAATTTAAAATTATCTTCTTTTGAGGCTGTGGAGTCCTTGAGGTTCTCTGAGCTTGGTTCTTTTCTTGCAAATGTTTCATTACCCGGCTAGGTAACATCTTCAGTG